GGCTGGGGTAAAAGCCCAAAGACCTGAAACATTTCCCCTTGTAAGACCCAGGAAGTTTCTCTCCTTAGCATTTTTTTTTTTTTTTTTTTTTTCTAAAAGGTGAGGGTTAAAGAAGTTTTGGGACAGGTCATACAAGATGGTCATAAATGAGTAATCTATACTTGACAGCAAAGTCACAGACTTCTTATTGAGGGCTGTGGTTCAATCATGCTTGTCTATCTATATCTAAATAGGTAAACTTGGCTAGAGAGCATATTCTAAAGAACTGATTGATTGTTGCTTTTCATGAGTGTAATCGGGTCACCATAAAAAGAAGGGAAGAACCTACAATTAACTTTGCATTCTTCCAGATGGATGGATGGATGGATGGATGGATAGTGTGCAGCTAACTCTGACATCTCCCTTCATTCATAATGCTTTATTTCTTTTCCCCATGAGCAGGCAAATTAATATAAGGTGAGAGCCACTGATTTTAAAGTTTCATAACAATCCAGACAATACTACAAAAAAGGAAGGACTTGGTAGATCTGGAGAAGTGCATATTTCGTGATTAGACTGAATTAAATATTATTTAGGGCAGGTAGCCTAGTCCAAGTTCTGGATCTGTGGCTGGAGCTGCATTGGTCTTCCACTGCTCTGCTTCATCATTTGCTTATGTTTGTTTTTTTTTCTGTTTTTGTTTTTCTTCCGGTACCAGGAATCAAACTTGGGACCTTGCGCTTGCCAGGCAGGCGCTTTGCCACTGAGCTAAATCCCCAGCCCCATCATTTGCTTATGAATCATATCACTTTGGAGCACTTACAATCTGGACTGATAGCAGAATTGTAGATCTATAGTACTGGGGCTTACTTTACTTTTCAAAATATGTGAACATATTTTTCCCAACTGATGACATTAAATGATAAACTTTAATCATGAAAGGTTAGGTGCTGTCATTGAGTATTCTTCTGGAAGCAGTAATTCAACTTTAAAATTTCTTCTATCAAAGACAGAATCCTGTCAGGTATGGTGGCACACACCTGTAATACCAGGACTCAGGAGGGTGAGGCAGGAGGATTGCTGTGAGTTCGAGGCCAGCCTGAGCTACAAAGTGAGTTCAAGGCCTGTCTGAACTACGTAGTAAGACTTTGTCTCAAAAAGACCAAAAAAAAAAAAAAAAGAAGAAGAAGACAGAATCCTGGGGTCCAGCAATGATGACATGGCAATAAAGGGTGTTGCTTTCATCTGGCTCTGCTTTAATGCTTGGACCTGGTTCTGCCAGCAAAGGCTGGTTTTTTGTTTTTTTTTTCCTTAATCTGGCCAGCTGCTCAGCTTTTGTCAAATCCCAATTTCAGCCTTTGTTCTTGTCTCCCTTGAGAGTTTGGAATCATGAGTAGATGATAGATTTTGTTAAATGGTTTTGGGGATTTTTTTTTTCTACCTCTGAGATGAGCATGTGGTTTTTGTTAGTCTGTTAATACAATTAAGTAGCTTGGTGAATTTTTTGAATGTTAAACTGATTTTGCACTCATGGCAAAAGCCACATTTGGTTATGGTGTGCTATCCCTAATATATATGGTTAATTTTTCTTTGTTAAATTTTAAGGAATTCCTGTACTTATGTTCCTGAGGGATGTTGAGAGGTTATTTTAGGTTTGTTTTGTTTTGTTTGTAATTATTTATTTGGTTTTTTGTTAGTGTTGAAATTATGACAGCCTCTCGGGATGAATGGCAAAATTCCAACTTCTAAAGGGAGCTCTGTGGAACTCAAATATTATTTAGATCAATTTCTGCATAGTCAGTTTTACTCCCAGTCTCTGTCTCTCTCCCTCAATCCCTCCCTCCATCTCCCTCCACACACACTCATGCATGTGCACACACACACACCTACACACACACAATAATTGTAAAATAAAAGTAACATAAAAGTTATTATTTTAACCATTTAAAGTGTACAGTTCAGTAATGTTAAGTATCTTTACATAGTTATGCAGCCAGTACCACTTAGTTGTGCAACCAGTCCTTTGAAAGATCTTTTGATCTTTCAAACTGAAACTCTGTACCCACTAAACAATAGCTCGTTAATTTCCTTCAGCCACCCCAGGCAACCATCATTCTACCTTATGTAGTATGAATTTTAGGACCTGTAGGTGACTCATATAATTGTGTAATGGTTGTGTTTTTGTAACTAGATTAATTTACTTGGCATGTCCTCATGATTCTTCCCTATTTTATCACGTGTCAGAATTTCTTTCCTTTTTCAGGTTAAATAATACTCCATTGCATATACATACCACAGTTTGTTTATCCACTTATCTATCAGTAGACATTTGGGTTATTTCCATCTTTTGGTTATTGTGAATAATGCTGCTATAAATATGGGTATCTATTTCAAGTGTCTGTTTTCATATCTTGTGAGTATACAGTCAGAAATGAAATTGCTGAATCATTTGGTAATTGTATGTTTAGTTTCTTGATCAGCATTAAAATTTCTTTTACCTCCCTATATTTAGGTTTCTTTTTCCTTTATGTATCTAGATTAATGAAAGTACCTTTTTTCTCTATAAAATTTGACTAAAACTTTATGTTTAGGAGACCTTTAAGACTAAATTCAGTTTTGATTTTATTTACTGTGATGTGTTGTATAACCTTTAACACAGAACATGCAAGTTGTGTTTTTCTTTATAACTGACCTTGTCCTTAATTCCTTCCTTTCCCGGCTTTGATTCCATGATGCATCATTGTGACTAGTCCCTTACAAGCATCCTCAGCTTCCCTGCTGTGTTTGTTCTATATTGTGCTTGCCTTGAAATTCTCAAACCTGTTTAAATCCAATTCTGTGTCTGCTTTGTGTCAGTATCCAAGCAACCAAATGTGGATGACGAAAGAATAAAAACCATGGCATTTGTCTCACTTAATAATTATAAGTATGGATTCCAAAATAATTTAAAACTACCCTACAATTATACTAAATTACTCTATAGTAAATTTGGGTTCCATTCTCTCTGCATTCTCCACATTTTCCTTCTTTCCTCCTACTTTCAGTGTGTTTACTACTCCCAACAGACCACCATGTTTGCTGTCCAAATAAGTATAACCAACACAGACGTAACACAGAATTCCCAGCGTAGGACTTACGTTGTTTTGTTCTACCTGCCCTAATGATGGATAACTGTCACTCTCTTGTCCAAAGGTGAAATCTTCACTTGTGTACAGATGCTATCAGCTGTTTTCTGTCCCTGGACATTGCATCAATTCTTATTCCAACTCTCTTCTTCATAAATTTTTACCTCTCTCAGATTATTCTTATTGGCATGAATAAATATATTTTAAAATTATTTTTCTCTGACTCTGTGAGGCAAAACTAATTTATAAAGTTGCCTTTGAAGTTACTCAAGAAAATTTAAAGAACAATGTTGCAGGATACAGTAGCACACACCTATAGTCCCAGCAACTTAGGAGGCTGAAGCAAGATCGCTTGAGACCACCCTCTTTTTAAAAGAGAGAAAGAAGAAAGGAGAAGACAAAATAATGTTGCAAACACCCTGAACCCAACTACCTCGCATAAGAAATGGAGCATTATAAAGTCAGTTGAATGTCCTCTGTGACTCCCTCTATTCGCTAGACATCACAGTGTTTCTGATTTAGTGAAGTATTATCTCCTGTGTACTCCAGAGATTGCCCTCCTCGTCGTTGCTGTTGACTTTCCATACACTGAATTCAGCGGTCAGTTCTCTTCTCTTTCAGCCTTTCTGTGTTGTTTGATACTGCTGACTTCTTAAAATTGTTCCCTCCATCTCTAAAACTTCGAAGTCTTCTGTTCTACTGACTTGCCCTACCTTTATCCTTTTGTTGAAAATGTTCAGTGCCTCAAACTCTGTTCTCTAACCCTTTTTCTTCACTGTCTTTATTTCTTTGCATTATCTTACGGCTTCAGTATGTCATCTGTATCATAACTCTCAGATATGTCTAGTCTCAATTCATTTCCTGAACTGTGTGTATCTACTCCCAACCTAAACCTGCTCTATCTTTGTCTATCTCAGTAAATGATACTTTCAGTCACCCATTTGCAAGGTATAATCAGTAGATATGGTGAATGTTCAAACTTTTAAAAAAATGATTACAGTAAAAGATATATTACCATTAATCCTACTTAGAATATGTCCCGTCATTTTGAACACACTTATCGCATCATTCTTGTCACTTTCTGAAGCAGTTCTGGAATTCATTTTTCATGAGTATTTTAAATTGTGCTAGTGTGACTGCCATAAGATCCTAAATTGACTTAAAATTCATTTTGACTTGGGGAAGAGCCAGAAGTCACATGGTGCCACACCCTAGGAATAAGGTGGATGAGGACATGCTGTTTTGTTTTCACAACCTGCCTTTCCGTTGGGTGGCACTTTGCATTCACTGTATTTTTGATCAGCCCTCATGAAGACAAAACACTACTATAACTGCTTCAGAAAGTGGCAAGAACAATGAGATAAGTGCGTTCAAAGTGAGGGAGTGCTTTGGAGAGGATTAATGACAATGTGACTTTTACTGTAACAAATTATTTAAATTTAAACATCCATTATGTACTATGTTTTGATCACACCTGAAATCTCCCCTGAAAAATAGGAATCATCTTTTCTTTTTACTCACCCTAAGATTAGAGTCCATTAGCAAAATTTATTCCAATTTATTCCAATTCCAGTCACTTAACAGTATCACTGTTTCTACCACTCTAATCCAATCCACTACCGCTTCTCACATTAACCACTACAGCAGCTTCTTACCTGGTTTTCTGGGTGCCATTCTCATACTCTTTATGTTTTAGTTCACAGCAATCAAAATTTTCAAAACCCTGCAATGGCTTCTCAGCCTTATAATAGCATCTATACTCTATTACAGCTTTTAGGACCCTGCATTATCTGAACCCTGCCTAATTCTCTAATTTTATCTCCTTATCCAATCAAATCATTTGCCCTGCTCCTGTGGGATTCTGGTTATATGTCTGATACAAGGTCCAGAATCATCATTTGTAAAAAACCACCTCAGTTGATTTGCTCATCTTGATACCACACTATTAGGAAGCATTGTTTTAGACAATGCGGGGGGGCGAGAATGCATTTCCAGTGAAGTTCATCTCTGCTTGAGCTTTCCTCCTGCGTGTAGAAAGTTTGAAAAAGTTCTCTGGTGAAAACCAGCATGTTCCCTCCATCTAACCATTACCAACAAATAGCAGATCCTTCTCTTGTATGAAGGTATCGTCTGTCTCATCCTCCAAGTTCTTCAAAACCTAGAAGTGTACACTTAGTATATTTTAGATACTGGGCAGAAACATGGTTAAATTAGGATTTTGTCATAAAATGACAAAACTTATACATGTGTTTTGGACGGGGGCCCTCTTGTTGCCGGGCCACAGCTAAGACTTTCCTTATAGATGACCCTCAAGTAAGCCAAAATATTCATCAGATACAGTTCTTTTATGTTTGTAGCAAGTTGTATTTCAGATTAGAATAGATTTGATACCTTTACATCGAGTGATGATTTTTATTTGCATAAGAATATCTTGGTTTGGGATTCTGCAAGTCTGTTTCAGTTCTGTTTTCTTCACTGAGACAAAACACTTGACGCCACAATTTAAGGGAAGGTAGGTTTAGTTTTGGCTGATAGCTTTAGATGTTTTTGTCTGTGGGCAGCAGGCTCAAATGCAGAAACGGCATGGTGGAAAACCCTGCCTTGGACAGAAGCTGCTCACCTAATGGCTTCCAGGAAGCATAGGGAGAAGGGAGGAGCCCAGACAGAAATATGCCTTGCAGGACACACTCCTCATCACCTAAGTACATTTAGGTGCCACCTATTAGCAGCACACTTAGCTTGGCACTGATCTCTGGATTAGTCCACATGAGTACAGCGGCCCCATGAGCCAGTCACCTTCCAAAAAAGCCTGACCTCTGAACATATGAGACCTTTGGGAGATACCTCAGATCTAAGCCATATTGTCATCTTAGTTGCCATTTTCAAAAATACTGCCAACCATACCTGGGGAGCTCTGTGGTCAGTGCTCAGGCATTAGTAATATTTTTTCTAAATTTTGCAAAAAATAAATTGTATGCTATTTTCAAATGAATAATTTTCTCATTTCACAATGAGTTGGGAAGCATTTTATAGTCATTCCTTTTAAAACATTGATGGTTAGGAAAGACAAAATAATATCTAACATTAAGCAGTGTTTCCAACTCTTAACAAGTGCCCTTTTCCAACTTTTATTTTAATAAATGTTGATTTTTATATAATATTCTCTTCAGAGTTCAAAGATATTATACCCTAAGGCAGTATTTGTCCCTTATGTAAACTAAATTGAATTAGGGTTTCCTTAGCTACCAAAATGGTTAGTGATTTGGGTGAACTAACATGCCTTCAAAGATCTCAGGATTCTTTTCTATAAGTTGAAAGTTATTTTAGACCAGAAGTCAACAATTAAAATATCTTGATCCTTTAAAGTTAGCTCAGTATAGCTTGGGAGGATAACCATTAAATGAAGTCATATGTTCCATCAGCTATCTTTTCATACGTGAAAAAACAAGTTTGAAAAAATTTAAATTCCCTTAATTTTGCTTTACAGATAATTAGCATATATACAGTACCTTTGGATTTGAAATATATAAAAAACTTTCTTTAGACTAATTCATGCAAGTACAGTACTACATAAGATTGGCATACATTATTTGTTCTACTACTAAGGTTAATATATCTTTGTGCTTTATTTTCTTCCATTTAGATAGAAGCAGATTTGGGCTACCCTGGAGGTAAAGCAAGAATTATTCATAAGGAATCTGATATTATCACTGCCTTTGCTGTTAATAAAGTGAGTATATAAACATTTTTCTCTGTTAGGTATTCACATTTGAAGAGTATCTTCTGTTTTATCATTTTATTCATTGTCAGTGTTTCCCTAAACTAATCCCTCTCCTTCAATTATCTGAGTTTTTATTTTATGAAATGATTATATTATTTGATAATATGATTTTATTATTAAATAATTTGGGCACTATAGCTAATAAAGTATTTTATTACTACAGAGAAATAGCAAATATTTATTTATGCAGTAGCTTTAAAATTTATGAAAGATATAGCAGTAACCCAAAGAAAAGGTTTTCTGTATTTCCACTGTATGTTGAATATGATGCTTAATATTTGATAAAATTTAAGCTTATATTTGACTCAGAAATTTTCCCCTTTTGACTGACTCTTCCAGTAGGTGCCAGTTACTGTGTTTTCTTAGCCTTCTAGCTAACATCCTACTCAGAGATGTCTGTAGCCACCAATAGAAAAGGTAGCTGTAGGTATAGTAGTTCAGGTTGACGTTTATCTTAATAATTCCCCCCTCCTATTTCCTGACATAGTTTTTAGTGATTTCTAGTCAACTTTTTTGTTTTCTTTACACTAATTTAAAGGTGAGGTGTTACTTTTTTACGTACTCCTAGGGATAATTAAGGAAGATGTGTGCACACACATACTCACGTGTTCTTAAGTTTGCAATAATTTTAAGTGTTGGGTAGATTTATATCCTATGGCATTACTCATTCAGAAATGTTTTTACCAGTTGGTTCTTCATCTCCTCAATGGTGGCAGACCTATAGCACATGTGCTACAGCTTTTCTGTGTCATTGAAAGCTCTGCAAGTTTCACCATCATGCCCCCTGTACTGTGCCTGTCCTCTCTTTGATTTCTCCTAGACAGTTTCTTTGCTATTCTGTCCTCATAATTTCCTATGTTGTTTGTCTCAAAATCTCATGAACATCCTAGAATAATGAATAGTTCTGTTTAGCAAGGCAGTTTTCAAATTGTAACTTCTGTTTATACATGTACACACACACACACTGGTGTGCCTTCCTGAAATAAAATAAGATTTTAAGTATACTATCCATTGAAAAAAACCTTTTTTTTCCTTTGAGGATATGTATGTGTATGTGTGTATCCATAATGACCATCCACATAGATAAAATCTGCCATTTGCTTGTGTATTTGCTTAAATATTTCTCTATTTTTGATATTACAGTTTTACTTTAAATTTCATCGTATAAAAATATCATTGAGATTAAATGTTTCCCTGTTTGTTTAATTGGTACCTGTTTGTAACAAGAACTGGAAAAGGTGTGAGATTTTACATTCATGCTAACAAGTTAACTTTCACAGCTTAAGTAAGTGCTGCTGTTCAAAAACACAAGAGTCATAGATCACAGGTAAAGGACAGTTTATTTCTAATAGCAAGAACAGTAGTCAGAGGATCAGCATTTTCATACTGGTTGCCTGAGCTACACATTGCCTACAGGAACAGATAGTACCTGCACCCACAGTAGGTCCTGTTATGGGAGAGGATCATTGATTTAAAGGACCTAGGTTTTTTTAATAGACAGTAAGCATAACAGTCCTTTGCTGTGGATGGAGAGACTATAACTGTGTAATTGTCCTGGGAGTGATACTGCAAAACAAACCACAGTAAGACATCCAGAGTTGGCAAGAGCAATGGAGAGCTGTCTCCAATATCTAGTTACATTTCTTTCCCGGAGTTTCAGCTTTTCCTATTAAATGATATTAATGCTTTACATAGTAATAATGCTGTTTTTTGTTTCCTGTCAATAATGTCCTGATATCTGTTTGAGATGTGCTTTTATTTGTGCCACTGATCAAAGGTCTTGCATGTGCTACACAAACACTTTAACACTGAGTTACATTCCTAGCCTAAGATTCACCATTTTAATTCATAAATTGTTAAAATTTTATGTAATTTAATCTGACCAGTTTTCCATTTATGATTGCTTCTGGCATATTTCTCCCGCTGTTTTTCTGCTCTTACCCCTTTTTTTCTGTGACCTTTTCTACTTATGTTTTTTCTTGCCTAACATTAAAAGGCTTTAGAAGAAAATGCTATTATTTTATTTGAATGATTAACTGATACATCTTTAGAGTTCATCTCCCTCACCTTTCTATAAAAGTAAGAGCTCTATCTTCTTCAGGTTTTTCCTCTTATTTTTCTAAGAGTGGACTTTACTACACTGACCAGTCTAGTCTTCAGCTCCTGGTCTTGCACACTCCTGACGCAACAACCTCCAGAGTTACTGGGACCACAGGTGCACACCAGCATGCCCACTCTCCACATTTTTGAATTGTGAAAACCTTATATCGTAGCAATCCAGCATACTAAACAGTTCTAGGAGAAGAAATAAAGTGATACAGGCATTGCTATACTTTCTGTTAAATGTACTGAAATTCCTAGAAGATGAACATGTCTCCAGGTTGAACTTCTATCATTCCACTTAAAATTTACTTGATAAAATTTGTTTAAAATATTAATTTATAAGAATGGTATCGGGGCTGGGGATTTAGCTCAGCGGCTAAGAGCACCTGCCTGGCAAGCACAAGGTCGTGAGTTCGGTTCCCGGTACCGGAGAAAAACCAAAAAAAAAAAACAAAAAAAAAAAAGAATGGTATCATTCTGCATTTTGGTTATTTCTAGAGATTATTTTTAGAAGTAACCCATATACCTGTTATGCCTCTTTATTTCAAAATTTCATATTACTTATTTTGCAGGCAAATAGAAATTGCATAGCAGTTGCTTCCAGCCATGATGTTCAAGAACTGGATGTTTCCGGAATTCTGGCTACACAGATTTATACTTGGGTAGATGATGATATAGAATTGGAAACCAAAGGGTACCTTTATATTTTGTTTTTATTCAGTAATGCAATATGAGTGACTATATCTGATAAACTATAATTTAAGTTTTCTTAAAGGACATAGTGCTAACTTATGGAAAAGGGCTAGAAGGAGCTTTTAAAAAAGGAAATGAGAAGAGTAAGTGAAGGTAATGGAAATTGGTGTGAAAGTCATAGGCGTAGGAGCTGGAGAAAAATAATTTTACAAGGAAATATAAAATCATATGTTGCAGCTTTCAAGAGTTAAAAAGGAAAGAAATGATGTATTGTTTTGACTGTGGTTGACTCCTTTGTAGATCAGAAGATTTCTTAGTTATACATGCTCGTGATGACTTAACAGCTGTTCAAGGCACGACCCCATATACACACAGCAATCCTGGCACTCCAATCAACATGCCATGGCTTGGTAGTACACAGACTGGCAGAGGAGCATCTGTGGTATGTGAAGTTGAGGATATTCAGATATAACTGTCCTTTTTTTTTCCTTTAAGTGAATGGATAAAAGATGATTTTTCAGTCATCCTTAAATTCCTACAGTTTTAGTAAATCTTATGGAATTGTTAATTTTTATAATAAAAAATAAAGTTTTCATTTGAAAGAATAACAAAAACTTTTTAAAATATACTTTGTTTTAAGCCAAAGAACAATATTTTACTTAATAATTATTTGAAGGCCCAGGATATAGCTCAGCAGCATAAGCACCTGCCTAGCAAGCACAAGATGCTGAGTTTGATTCCCAGTACCAAAAAAAAAATAAAATAAAAATAAGAATAATAATATTTATTTGAAATCTGATGGTCCAGATCAGGCTTCAGCAAGCTGTGGTCCATAGGTGAAACTCTGATGATAGCCTCTTTTAATAGCTAATATACTAAGACTAGTGTTTTGTATTGTTTTGTAGTACTGGGAATCAAACATGGCCCCAGGCATACTAGTCATAGTGCTCTATCCCTGAGCTACATTGTAGCCCTAAATTTTTCAATAGTATCAAAAAGTCATAGTAATTTTTGGCACATGAAAATTATATGAAATTTAATTTCAGTGTCTACAAGGAAAGTTTTATAGAGATACAGCCAGGATCATTCATTTATATTTTTGCACGTACGTGCATTCATTTAAAGTAATAGAATTGAGACAAAAACCATATGCTCATAAAGCCCCTAATATTTACCAATGAATTGTTTATAAGAAAGGTTTACTAACCCCTGGATTAATCTCTTTCAGTGGATATCACCTGAAATCTATTTTAAGTACAACTTTTCTTAATGTTGAAACAAATATCAAAAGCTATAAATATTTTTTAACTTAAGTAAAGTGGTATACAAAGATGAACCAAATTTTATCTGTAGTAATGTAGGATCTATTTACCTAAGAGATGACCCATGTTTAGATTGCCAGTATCTTAATTTACTGATACTTAGAAAGTAAGGCTTGTTACATAGAATTAAAGAAACCCATACATTCTGTCAGTGACTTTCTAGGTGGCAGTGACTTTTTGTTTTGTTTTGTTTTTTGGTCAACCAAAAAATTTCCTGTCCTCAATTAGTATGGGTAATTGTTCAAGAACAGGTTCAGTCATCTTTTCAACACCCTTTAATGCTTGATGATACTTAGTGCAGTTCCTTTATAAGTAGTGTGAGCCGATAAATAGTTTTCTGTTATGGTTATTTTGTACTCTTCCCACTCATTCTTCAGATTAGACTAGAGATGCAGAAAGGTCAAGTGACTCAGGCCACTGGGGTGAATTTGTGGTAGAGCTTTTATTAGAATATGTGTGCAGTACATGGTACATTCATCTTAGGGAGTAGGCACATGTACTTAATATATCTTAATTCTTTTTATGCCTTCTTCCCCTCCACTTTCCTATCTCCATCTCTAGATCCCTTTTTCCTATTTTCATTACTGTTGTCATTATTTTTTTTGTTTATGTTTGTGACATGTAATGATTACATTCTTTCTCAGTAGGTGGTCCATGTACATGCTGCATCATTAATCTTTTTACATCCCTTTCCCCTCCCCTGCAGCCCTTAGCCTTTTAGTCCCCTTCGTATTTGTAAAAGATCTATCACCGTTTCCTTTTATCAGTCTTTTATTTTGATCTTTATTTATTTATTTGATTACTCAAATGAGAAGCCATATAGTATTTAAGCTTATATGTCTGATTAATTTCACTTTTGTTTTCAAGTTGTATCCATCCATTTTCCTACAATTTATCATTCTTTATAGCTAAATAGTATTCCATTTTTTATATATGCAGAGAGAGAGAGAGAGAGAACCACATTTTCTCTATTCATCTGTTGATGGACATATAGACTGCTTCCAAGATTTGCTATTATGAATTGTGTTGCTGTGTACATAAGTATGCATGTGTTACTGTAATGTGATACCTTCTAGGTATCTAAAGATACCTGGAAGGGAAATAGCTAGGTCAAGTAGAATTTGTATTTTTAGTTTCTTGAAAAATTGCTAATTTCCGAAAAGTTGTATTCCCTTTACAAAGGAACCCTTCTACACTGTTGTTGGGAATGTAAACTAAAGCTCTTTTTAAAACCCTTGAGTCAGGCCGGGGATATAGCTCAGTGGCACAACACTTGCCTGGCAGCATGAGGTCCTGAGTTCGAGTCCCAGTATAAAAAAGCCCTGGAGTCTTCTTGATTCATTGACTTCAGGAAGCTGTGTTTTCAGGATTAAATTGAATTTGAAAAGCAACCTAGTAATTATTCAAGTGAAATGACTTTGTGAATATAATTATTTTTTCAGTTAACAGACATTTTCAGATTGGTGAAATTTACAGATACTATAATATTTTAAAGAGAAATTTAATGAGATTATACAAAATATGTAAATAGAATAAAGCCCTTTTTTTCATTCCCCAACCTCAGAGAAATTTTTCCTGTAAGAGCTTTCTTGCTACCTCTGTTCTATGCAGAGCAGTGCGTGTTTCTAAAACATTTAGATTATCATTCTTCCTTAAGAAATTTCAGCACAGCCGTGTGTGGTGGCACACGCCTGTAATCCCAGCACTCAGGAGGCTGAGGCAGGAGGATTGTTGTGAGTTCAAAACCAGCCTGGGCTACAGAGTGAGCTCAAGGCTAGCCTGAGCTGCATATCAAGACCCTGTCTCAGAAAAACAACAAAAAAAAAATTTGAACACAATTTTTAGAAGAAGTCATCAACATGGCCTTTAAGGCCCTACAAGCTTTATCCCCTGCCTGCTGCTTGGGGTTGAATTTTCTTCCTGTCTGCATCTTAAAAGGACAGCTTTTTAGTTGAGGTCATTGAGATTTGTGAACCTAAGTATTGTGATTGCTCTCATTCCACAACTGTCAAGAAAAAGATACCAGCAAAATTAAGTTGTGCTTTTTAATATGAATCTTCTGAAACAGTTAATGATTTGTCATATGATATTCTACATATACATCCAGAAAAAAATTTTAGCTGGCACTTGTATATTTTCTTAACTCATGAGTTTCCTTTGATAGTCAAAAACATGAGAAGGTACCATCAACCCTTAGGACATACCTTTGAGAATGTGGGATTTAAATAGGAGATTTGAACAAAAGACATACCAGGTTTTCACTTTTTTCTAGAGATTTGATAAAATACTTTTTCACCATTTGTTGAGTGATGACTGTGTATGTGTTATGACCACTTTCTACCATTCAAGAGTATAATGACATCCCCATGAGTGTCTTTGGGTTTTTCTGACCTTCATCCTGTTCTGGCTGCCTCTTCCTCCTACCAGTTCCACACCTTCTCCAGGTTGGCTAACTGAACAGTTGAGAATACAAAAGAGCAACACAGAAGTTTACCTGAAACTGATGCCACAAACTTGGAATAACTTATAAGTATAGTTATGGTGTTGAATAAGTAGGAACTGTTGTACAAATTTTAAATTTCCCATTAATTTTGTGTATTTATTTTACTCAGGTTAGTCAGAGCATGTTTTAAAAATGAGTAATCGTCCCAAACTATCAATTACAAACTTCTTTCATTTTCTGTTTACTTTTTATTTTCACCTATCTTTTAAACATTATGCTACTTGCTTATTCCAGTAAATTTAATATGATCAGAAAACAATTGCAAAAAAGAGATAAGACTAAATTCTTGAAGGGAATTTCACCTTAGATCAAGAGCCATGCAATTGCATTCTGTTGACATGTTGAGTATGCTTATTAGCCATAATGGTAGTTAAAAAGTCATATAAAAATGAATAAATGTCAGTTAAATTTTGTGCCACTATTTGTTGGTTTTTGTGGTGCTGGATTGAACTCAGGCCTTCACATATGCTAAGCCTGCACTCTGCAGCTTACCTATGCCTGTATATTGTATATACTCCCCAGCTTTATAATTTAAATTTTTAATCCTTCTTTCTCTTGTAACTACAAAATAATTTTTCTTTTTACCAGATGATTAAGAAAGCCATTAATAATGTCAGAAGAATGACTTCTCATCCAACTCTTCCTTACTGTAAGTTGTTAATTAGCAATGAATCTTTCTTATTCTTTCCTCTCAGTTTTGGTACTTTTTATTGTAAGGAACTTGTGGAAAGCTTTCAGTTTCAATTGAAGGGTAACATTTATTCTACCTTGTTTTTTAAGGAAAATTTTGGCTAGTAAATAATATTTCATCTCAAAATTGTATAAAAATAGAACAAGAGTTCCTTTCCTAGTGCAAACTAACACTGCAGTAAACTTTTGGCATTTTGCCCACATATTTCTAAGTTAATATGCTTTATTTTGAACATTTCTAAGTTCCTTAGAGCAGTAATCACGAACCTTTTAACGCTCTCTGTGATACTAACAGCCTGCTGTGGCATGCATGGTTTACCATCACTGCCTTAGATAGTGCTAATTGTAAGTGATAATTATTGTTTTAATAATAGGGTCATTGGCATCTTTTATTACATAGACCAGAGCCCTGCCTTGATCATTTACTGCTTAATTATAATCATTTTATATTTAATTAAATTTTGTCCATTTATCTTCATGTCAGACATGTTAATAGTAAGGACAGAAAATGGTGATTAAATTCTTATATTACCTACAGGATACTTTTTTTCAGTTATTCTTCCTAGAAGTCTCAAAACTCTCCCTTCCTTTATCCAGAACTTAAATAATAGGGAATTTATAGGAGATACTGATTAAATTGTGTGTTGGAAAAATATTCACTCATTAGTATATGAATATTCCAAGTATTTTAAATTATAACTTTTATATCTTGCCATTCATCAAATTGTCTTACCACATAGAAACAATAATAGGCCATGTTAATTAGGAGGTATTTGTATCCCTTCAATTTAATAACCTATAAAAATTTTTACCACTTTTCTCATTGGAGAAACTAATGAAATACAACTGGCAAAAGTCAGTGTTCTATTTAATTACTATAAGGGCTATAAGCATCTTTTGTCAAGATTGTATACTTTGTACACAAAAAGGCTCAAGAAACCATATTTTAAATGAAAAGAATGATCTCTCATATTGTGGATGTAAAAGACTCGTTCAATGTTTTTCATACATTGAATTTATTCAATATTAGAAGTATATATTTGTATGAGTAAGTTTAATGTTATTTTTAAATAGCCTATGCAGTAAGGATTCCAAGTGGATTTTACATATAAAGTTTAAATAATATTATTTCCGTAGCAAGAAATATTTGCCCTTGCTTTAAACTGTTCTTATTCTCCACAGTAGGATGTGTAAGTTTCCCAGAATATTGAAAGGACATAACTTTACCTCAGCCTCATAGACTATATCCTAATGGTTGAATAGTTTTGCAGTGAATATTATCTACCACAAACCCATAGATTTAAATAAAGAAAACCCCAGCTTCAAAGGCTACTATTTTTGGACTTATTTTCAGAGATATTATGTAACACTAAATTACTGCTGTCTTAACATGTTTTTTCTGTATTCAGAGAACTACCGTAACCAGCAGTTAAGAGAATTAAGACATTAAAAACAAATTAATTACTGGAATTTGTTTTTTGAAGGTAATCTTTTCTTGTTGTGAATAAGTCCCACAGGTACTGATTTAGTTTATGTAATGAAAATGTTACAAGGTAGGATTTTTGAAACATTGTACTCTGAAGTTCAGATACTTCAAACTAGCTCTTTTTCCCTTAGAATCCATCTTTTTAACAATCTGAGTCACTATAAGCAACTTTCCACGCTAGGGATCAAACCCAAAACCTGTGTATGTTAGACAAGTGCCCCACCACTGAACTACACTGAACTACCAGCCCTGAACAACAAATTTTTCTTTTGTACTGGGAATCAAACTCAGGGCCTCCTGCTTGCCAGGCAGGCACTGTGCTGCAGAGCTCCATCTCCAGCCCTGAACAACTTGACTGCTACTCCAAAGAACTTTTTAGAGATTGGACTAATAAATACACTTTTAATTCCCTGGATGGAAAAACATAGTTTCTCAACATTTTCAGAAACACCTCTGAAAATAATTTTTCTGAAAACACCTCTGAAAATTTCAGAATACACCTTCTGTACTTTCAGAAATGCCAAATGTGATTTTTTTTTTCTCCTTAAGCAATTATCCAACTCTGTCAGTTATAATTCAGTTCAATTAATGACATTATCTACCTGGAGTCAGAGTCAGATCCCGTAGGTTAGGGATTCAGTACTAGAAAACTGCCATCTGGTTCAGATGACAGTTACAAGTAGTGGGCTTTGACCTGTACTTTCACTGACTGTAAATCAAGATCATAATGGCCTGTTCTTGATTTGGGGAAACACTTTGCTTGCATTTACCATTATATTATAAAGTATACACATGAAAAGATACAGAATGAATTCCAGATGAGTCCTGAGTTAAAGTTGAAGTGTTGTGTCTTCCTCCCAGGTTGGTGCTTGTTCAAAAATGTTTGTAGAGCTTATCTCCATATAAAGACCATAGCCTGTCACTCTACAGCCATCTCCATTTTTACCAAAGATAATAAAGACAAATTTGCTTGAAGCATAAGTCTAGTATCATTGAACCTTGCCTGATTATATACATAAGTGCAGCAAGAACAGTGATTCACCATACAGGCATTTTAAAAGTCTGCTTTGCTGCAAGACTAAAACAGAATTTCAGATTAGATTTTTTTAAAACCTCTAGAGACTACAAAGCCAATCAAAGGGCTTGACACCAGATTTTGCCTGAAGTACTATACATTTGAATGAGTTCTTGCCTTCTCAAGATTCCCAGATATCATGGAGTTCTTACCTGGAAGTGAAACTGTGTACTCATAGGTCCCCTGTAAGGGAACTGTATATATGGTGGCAGGTCAGTTTTTTGTGTTTTAAGTTGCAGTTTGGATTTATAAAATCAATCTGAGTTCATTAAAATTGTCCAGTAACATCTGATTCTCTACATCCTCAAATATGATGTTCCAGTCAAAGCTTTAATGATAGACTCAGTGTTTTCAATTATGCCCTGTTACAAGGAGAGAGATTTTTTTCTTTATCTGCTTTTTTATTAGTATATGTTTACCATACATAAGGAATACATTCATCTTGAGGAGTTGGTGCATGTACTTGTTACATCTTAATCCTTTTTATTTCTCCTTGTCTCCCTCCCTCCCTTCCTTCCATTCCCAGATCCTCTTCCTATCTCCATTCTGTTTCCTAACATCTCTTTTTAATTTGCTCTTTAGATAATTTATACTTTGGTTTTCTTATATGAGAGAAACCTTGTGCACCTGATTTATTTCACCTAGCATTATAATCTCAAAGTACATTCATTTTCCTGTAAATGACTGAATTTTGTCTGTGTTTGTGGCTGAGGAGTAACACATACCACATTTTATTCATCCATTTGTCTGTTGATGGACATATAGGCCGCTTTCAACGTTTAGCTATTGTGAGTTGTGTTGTTAGAAACATGAGTAGGTGTGGGGCTGGGGATTTAGGTCAGTGGCACAGTGCCTACCTGGCAAGCGCAAGGTCGTGAGTTCGATTCCTGGTACCAAAAAAAAGAAAAAGAAACATGAGTATGTGGTGCCATTGTAGTATGATGCCTTTAACCTTTTCAGGAAGATATCCAGGGGCCAGAGATACAGCTCAGTGGCACAGCGCCTACCTGGATTTGATTCCCAGTAACAAAAGGAAGATTCCCTGGGTTGAATGGAATATCTAGTTTTAGTTTTTTGAGAAATCTCCACAATTTCCATAATGGTTATACTAATTTTCATTCTCACCAACAATGTAAAAAGGTTCGTTGTTTTTTTTTCCCACAGGCTCACCAACACTTGCTATTGTTTGGCTTCTTGATGATAGCCACTCTTTTGGAGGAAAATAAAATCTCAGTGTTATTTTAGTTTGCATTTTTCCGGTGGCCAGAGATGTTGAACATTTTTGCTTATATTTATTGGCCATTTGTGCATTGTCTTCTGAAAAGTCTTCATTTCAGTTGCCCAATTTTTGATTGGGTCTTTTGTTTGGAGAGGTGTCTAATTTTTTTTTTTTTTTTCGTTTAGTTCTTCATATATTCTAGGTAATAGTTTTCCGTCTGTGTAGTAGCTGGCAAATTTTTTTCCCCATTATGTAGGTTGTCACTTTACTGTTGGTTTTTTCTTTGCTATGCAGAAGCTTTGTAATTTGATATGAGCCCATTAGTTGATTCTTACTGTTTCTTGTGCAATTGGAGTTCTGTTCAGAAAGTCCTTGTCCATGCCTATGTCTTTAAGAGTGTTACTTATTTTATCTTGCAGCAGATTAAGTGTTTCTGTTTTAGTATCTAGATCTTTGATTTTTTTAAATTTGATTTTAGTACAGAGACATATATGAGTATAGATTCAGTCTTGTGAATGTAGACATTCCAGCCCCATTTATTAAAGAGGCTTTCTTCTCTGCAGCTTATGATTGTGGCTCTTTTGTCAAAGATCAGATGAATGTGCTTGCGGTTGTTTCTGCATCCTCTATTTTGTCTGCAAAATGTGTCTGTTTTTGTGCCAGTACCATACTATTTTTATCATTATACTTTTGGAATACAATTTGAAATCTGGAATTGTGATGCCTCTTATTTTGCTCTTGTTCCCCAGGATTTTATTTGCTATTCTGGGTCTCTTGTGGTTTTGTGTGAATTCTAGGATTTTTTTTCCTTTTTTTTTTTTTTAGTTCTTTGAAGAATACTTTTGGTATTTATATTGGCATTGCATTCAATCTATATTATCATATTCATAACATCCATTTTGACAATATTGGTTCAGCCTGTCCAGGAACAGGAAATGTCTTTCCATTTTCTAATACTCTCTTTGATCTCTTTTTTCAGAGTACTGTACTTTTTATTGTAGAGGTATACTTCTTTGCTTAGGTTTGTTCCTAAGTATTTAATTTCTTGAAGTTATAGTGATGGGCTTGTTTTCCTAATTTCATTCTTGATGGCTTCATTGTTGGTGTACTGATATGCTATTGATTTTTGTGTTTATTTGATATCCTGCTTCTTTGATGAACTTACTATTTCTGGGAGTC